GAGGCCGACCCCCAGCTCGCTACAACCTCCCTTCAGGAAGTTATAGAAACATAGAAAGCATTAAAACAAAATCTCATGTAAGTCATTAACGTACCTCTATTTCTGAGTCACTGGAGTCAAGCTGACTGCCTGCTGTCCCAGCAAGGAAGGGCAGCATGGGCTGACCCATTTTAGCCATCCGAGAAATTAGCTTTGCCTTTGCTACGTCTGGATTCTGAAAGAAAACATTTGCAGTTACTCCTCTGTCACTCACTCCTGTGTCTTCAGATAGTACAGAAGGCTAACCCTGCCAAAGGCCTAAGTCACTAACGCACCACTTGAAGCTCATCTATATAAGCCTGCATCTTCCAATTCTTCAGTGACTGAAAAGCTAACTTCAAGGCAAAATGATGGATGTATAAATCTGCCTTACTTTCTATACTTCCCTTCTGGGCTCACAGTGCTGCCATTACATAAATAACTGGCACAAAACATAGCAATAAGGAAGTGACATAGAACACTTTTCTGTAAAGAATGGGTTTTCCAAATTAAGGAAGTCACTCAGCAGCTTTTTCTACCCTCAGACATATCTTGATCTCGTGCAGAATGTCCCAACCACTCTTTGCTATTCATTTTAAACTTGTCCATTTATATGAGAAGACAATTAGCTTTACAAGAATGCACATGAGCAAAGTGACTTGCCATTCAAGAGCAGGAACCAGAACTCAGAACTGGGACTGCAATTCCTCATGTCTTGCCATCTCATTCACAAACAATCTGTTGTTAATAATGTGAATATTTAAGAGTATCCTGCATGCTGTTCGCTTGACCTTCAGCAGTACTTAATGTAAAGGTGAAAACAACCAAGCTTCCCTACATAAAGCTTCAAATTACTTGGGAAATAAATCAACAGCACTTACTGCTAACTGTTCACTGATGGAGTTGGACTTGGCCCTAACAGCTGGCTCCCTGAAAAACCAAACAGACAGGTTAGTAATTGTGGTTAATAAAAATGAAATTTAGGATCTAATATTGTGCTTTTCTAAATAACACCAAGTACAACATCCCCCACACATTTTTCTTACAATTCTTGTATTTCCTTCCCCTTTACTTTTGGAAGATTCCTTGCAGCATTACTTGTAGATTTCAGAATATCATTGTAAGGGAGTTTCACAGCTGTGGAACATGTGATTACAGAAAGATGATTTTGTCAATTCCTGTAAAAGCCACATGCAGGTATAAACTATTGTATCCAAATTTATTAACAAGTTTATCTATTGTGTCAAAAAAATCCAAGCACTTAAACTTGGAAACTACTCCCTAAGAAGGACAGTCAACCCATTTGATTAACTTAAGAAAGCAATGTCAGTGCAAAATTTGCAATTGAAGTTAGCTGTGCCCCAAGGCCAACTCACAGCTATGCTGCCACCAGATATGAGAAAGCTTTTTTAGCAGTACCCACACAGCTTAATAACACTAGATCTCAAACACTGTAGAGCAAAGATTTCTTCCATGGGTGCTCATTTCAGTTACTTTGAAGTCTTCAAGAAGAAACCTTTCTGCAATATTCACCTACATTCCCACACACCGATGGCACAATACTGGCACACAGAGGACACACATCTGCCAAGTGATTGTCTAGGATGTTTATGAGCATTACCATATTTTAATGCAGCAAGTTGTTTTAATAATGCTTCTGCTTACCCAGGCTTTGGAGGTATTGTAGATGGAGGCAATAAAACAGGGTCTGCAGAGAAGCCATCTGAATTAGGCACTGGTGAAGGTGCAAGAGAATCCCTTGAACTAATGCTCTGTCCATCTGAGCCAGAGCCTTCCTTCACCAGCTTCACCTTAAGAAACATATAAATAAAACATTATCCCTCGCTACCAAAAAGGATTTCCAGCAATTTGCTTACTTCTGATGACTACTCCTTTGCCAAGTTTATTCACTTCAAGGGAGAACACATATGACTTGGAACATACAAGAGAACATTTCACCATTTGCAACTGGAGAAGCAAAGTCTTTACAACCTGTCAGTCCTCACTATTTGGAGTTGTAATAGCTCACAGGTAAGACAATAAAGAGATCCCAAAACAGCTGGAACAGACATGGCTTAGTAAACAATCTAGATGGGTTGTTTTATTTTAATTTTAAAAGAAATGCACCTTCCTGAGGCATTTTGTTCATAACTGTTTCTAAACTGCAAACAGCAGACAGATGGTAGCATCCAACAACAAAGCAGATGCAAAATAAATACCTGGGAGAAGACACTCACCCGCCTAACCTCCACGTCAAAAACTAGAGTAGAGTCTGGAGGGACACGGCCAGCCACTCCCTGAGTCCCATAGGCCCAGGCTGGAGGAATAATGAGGAAGCGCCGTCCTCCTTTCTTCATCCCCATCATTCCTTCTTCCCAGCCCTTTGGTATTCAGGCACCAGAAGAGAAAGCAAACAGCATGACTATTGAACATTACAGTTTCTTGTCATGTAATTACACACTGATCAAGACTGCTCCAGGCACCATTTACAGAAGGCTCCAAAGCACAGAGAGCTTCTTGTAAAGTCCTGCTCAATTTTAGCGTGCAGCACTAAAACCACCCCTTACATCAAGTCAATGGCCTTTCACGGATTGCAGATTAACTGAAAAATAAGATGCAAATCCCATCATGTTCATAAGGAAATCAAACAGATACAGTAATCTCCATCACAAAGTTAAGACAAGTTTTACATGTCGTAACAGCACCAGAAGGAAGAAAAAAACAGCATGCAACATACAGAAATTCTCCATTTATATGTAGCTTGCAGGGCATACAGCATCAATCTCTCTCAACACTCAAAGAACAGGATTCTGAGACATTCAGAGATTACTTCCTAACTGCTACGGTTAGATTTTAAAAGTGCTCACAGAAAACAGTTGTTGTCTGAGACTTAGAAGCTAGAGCAATGCAAAGAGTCAAATCAACACTGGCACTTAATAGGAGGCCTATTGCAGCCAGACAACATTAGTAACAAGATGCACAATAAAAAACCAACAAAAACAGTGCACCTTCAACAACGGACAACTTGTAAAAGGTCAAATGTGAATTATTTAGATGACGGCAGTGACCCGAACAAAAGTAACTGACTCACAATCTGGCTTTACCAAAAACCATAAGAGCTGGATTGAAAAACTACTGCAGTTAGTATCCTTTCACAGTTTGATCTGGGGGTAGGGGGGGAAAAAACACTCTAGGCAGTCCTACTATCTTTTATTAGACAATTCCACTACTTGTCAGTCGTCTTCACCTTCCCGTGCCCTTCTTCCAGATGTCAGACCAGAGTTATTTGACCCTTTGCCCCTGCGGCACATACATGGAGGAGTGTAAAGTTCTCAGATTGAATTTCCTCTTTCGGTGTCAAGAAACCCCGTTTCTAACTAATGGACTGAATCACTTGTGGAATAGCAAGCTCCCTACTTTTAAAACAGGATAACTTTCCATTGTTACTTTGAAGGGGACATACCACTCAAATTAAGGAAATACACATTTGTTGAATAAGTCACCAGTACAGCGTTTCTCAGTTAATGAAACATGTAAGACAGAGCGTGTTTGAATCTTGAACAAAGTCTTCAGTAATTCAAAGACTCAAGACAATTACAGTGAAATGCCAGAAGTTCTACCTTGATGACCTTCCCAGATCCCAGCTTTAGGCGCAACAACTTGTCCTTGTTAATGTTTGAGTCAAACACCTGGAGAGTTGAAGAGCAAAAATACAAAATCACATTGATTTCTCAACTGTTTCAAGATTCTCAACACTGCTTTACAAGTTTCATAATCTCCTACGGCCTCTTACATGCTATTTCCTCTCCTGCTTCCCTTCCAAAATTCACTCAAAACTAACATAAGACAGAGCACAACTAGAATTTCTAGTCTATTGTGTAGCACAATTTCTTGAAGTGAATGACAGCTGGAGACTCAGACTTTAAAACTGCTTCAAGCTTGATGGTCAGGACAGGATTGATCCAACGAGAACACTGCACAAACAGAACAACTGTACATATTTTGTATTAAACTCAGACACGAGCAGCTGAACAACTCCTACAAATCAGAAGCAAGCTCTGCCACATGTACCATTGACTTTATGGAGAGAAGCACACCAGTCTTTGACAGGCATATCCTGCCAAAGAAACAAAAACTACTCCAAGATGAAAAACAAAGGTTTTTTTGTTGTTGTTTTTTAAATACTAAAAGGCTCAACTGCAGAGTGATGCAAATGCAAAAAGCCCTTTGCTATGAATTATAGTAATAGTTAAAAGAGAAGTGTTTTAAAGATAACACTTTGGAATCCCAAAGCAAGTCTTTTGCCTTTACTTTTCTGTCCTCTCCAGCTTTGTCCTATCCTGGTGGCTTGTAAACAATCTCATCTATTTCACACTTGCAGACATGTTTTATGTCTTCTTACTACTTCATCATACTATTTTCAAAATGAGCATAGCTGCTTCATTGGCCTTTGTCACCACTTTGTTCAGAGCACCTATGAAATTCAAAAGCATTTCAATCACCTCCTTTGAACAGTAATGAAATCCCTTATTATTCTACATGTAATACATTTAATCTCACCAAAGGTGAGAAAAACGAATAAAACCATATCTTTAAAGCACCAGTACTATGCTCAAAGTGGCAGATTTCCCCCAGGGAGTATCACATCCACACATCAGTGGGTGGCAGAAATGTCTTTACCTGTCCAAGCCCATTGTTCTGGAACAGCCAACCTGTGTAGGCAATCTCCAGAGAATCCCCTCCTTCGACTCCCTGCCCTTCTCCAAGAAGGAGATCCTGGTAGAGGACTGAATCGAGCACTGGGGAGCTGTTGTATTTGGCAATGCACACCTGCAAAAGGAAGGCACATCAGCATCTTGTCCATAAAAACAGAGCAGCAGGTTCCATCACGACTCCCTTACCCATCTGATGTATTTCTTACTGTACCAATCAAGCACAGGTTATAGATGTGCTCAGGAGGCATTCCTTGTTTCCCTGTGCTGAATTTTACAAAGCTATATAAATAAGAAAAATACCTTTAGAGTCATTGGTCTTAAAGTACCTCAGAAACTTGATAAGAAAACCCATCAGAAATATCAGGCTCCCTGCCTCTAATAAACAAAATTCAGCCAAGTTCTTTGCAAACCTGCCTCAGACACAATCATGAAGACACAGCTGAACTTCAAGTGAAAAGTAAGATTTTTTTTTTCACGTCCCAGAAGCAAAGAGATGCATCCTAATCTGTCTGCTGTTCAAACAAAAGTAGCAAGTCATATCCTGCACAGGGTAAGTAGTTACCTGTTTACTGAAATCCACTGCTGCCTTTTCTGACTCAAACATGATTGACCAGTTTTGCCTTTGATCATCATAGAATGTGCTGTAATTGTTGGACTGGACCTGTGGGAAAGGAAATCAGCCCAGTGCTGTATGTTAAAAGATGCATTCAATTAATATAAAAATAATTTAAAAAACAGACTGTATCTGACAGAAATTTTAAATATGAGCTACTGAAATTAAACAGAGGCAGAGAAAGAAACCTGCCACATTACCACCCAATTTCAGTATGAAGAAATCAGCCCTTATTACAGTGCTCATTATGATGGGAGAAATGGTTCAAATATTCAGTGCTTCATAGATGCTGCAGCTTTATTAAGATGGCTCTTTGAAGCTAGGTTCTGTTATACTGAGATTTTCCACTTGTAAGGATTCTCTTTTTCACAAGTGCTGATGCAGCAGGACCTCCGCATGCAAACACAGAGTCTCTCAGAACTTAACACTAAATAAAACATTTCTCCACTGGTAACTACATAACACTTCAATCTTTCAAAGCATATCTTCAAAACTTATAGAACTAGATAGCAAGCTAGGATCCTGATCAGACATTTGGATTGGAATTCTGTTATTTCAGAGTAGGATTTCTAGTCATCAACCAAGAAATTCCACATCACCATAAAAACAAGCTAACAGCAAATCACAACACCCATCTTCTGTAAAATCAGCAGAAAACAGCTTCCTGAGAGATCCCATTTTAGGGCTTACGATGTTTTAAGTGGCTCTTATCACAGAAATGCTGATTATCAAGACTCAGCGGAAATACTTCCCTGCCATCACTTCCATCTGCTTGCTCATTTGTGTTTTCTGAGTCACTTAACCACATTAACCACATTAGCAGGAGGAATTTTATTCTCTCACTTAAGACTTTTTACTCTGTCATTTTAGGACTGTAAAACTCAAGAACATCTGTGATCTGGAGATAAAAATACACCTCCTACAGGCATATTTTCATTATTAAAACCACTGATTTCATAGGGCTCTGCAAGAGGTAATTTAGCAGTGTCTTGTGCAACAATTAGGAGATCAGCACTCCCTGTCGCTGTGCCATCTCTTGCTACATCAGTCACGTGTTTGATCTCAAAGGCTGTAATCTAAGAAAACACTTCACAGCAAACAGAGGTTCACTCCAAACAATGCAGTGTACCAGATGCTTTTCTAATCCAGCCTTACCGTGAGCACAAAGCCTGGGTGGATCCTTGCAGACATGATCTGTTGCTGCTGACTGATGTAAAGGAGAATCCTGTACTGGATTCCATAAAGAATTGTGCAGGAGAAAAGAAAAAAAAAAAACACAAACCAACAGAAACTGAAAATGTTTTCAATTTGAGTGTGCTTAATTCTGAGCCTAACACTACAGTATTACAAAATACACCTCACAGCATCATTTTCCAAAGGAAAAATACTTTACATAATTTTCTAACAGCTATAATGGATACATGAAAACATGCAACAGACGAAGTGGTTCAACAATAATTCTTGTGCAGTAAGCAAGATGCCTTCACTAATTCTACATTTTTCCACATAAAAAAGAACGTGCTAACCTCTCAATACAGAAAGCTCATAATGCATGATGTGTAGGAATGTAAAAGACCGAGTAATAAGTTAGAAGGACTTATACAAGTGTTAAAGAATTCAAAGATAACACTGCATTGACGTTTACTATGAGACATGATCTAGTAAGAAAAAATACTTTCCTTTCTGCACCTGTAGCAAGGCTTCTTCACTCAGGAAGTAGTTTAACAAAGTACTTTTCCTGCTGCTGTTCTTGTCAAAGCATAAGTAACTCAGTGAGACAATATCAATCAGGGGATGGGAAACACACCAAAACCAACAACACAAACAGACTGGAGCATATAAAGTACCTTATAAATATATCACCTCACTGGACACTACAGAGCCATGTCCTCAGATTACTCGGGAAAGAAGGTTTGGAAAGGAGAGATACCAAACCAATAGCACTTAAGGAAAGCATCTTTGCACTGCTACACCGATTTGTGTTCTATACTGATTTTCACACACACACACATTTGTGATCCAGCTGTCAAAAGAGGTTCCAAGTAAATCACGACATCAGTTCCACATCAGAAAAGGTGCAGCACCCCAAACAACACAAAATATTTCAGTCTCAATTGAGAAGAAATCTTGCAAAGAGATTTGCAGACTGCAGAAAAGAAAGATGTCATCAAGGTAAATGAGCACATAAACCAAGGAGGCAGAGAGGCATAAGCAGCAGCGGAACTAAGACCTTCAACATGCAGAGCAAAAACATCCCCAGTGAGCTCAGAGAAACATTGCTTCATACCAGCACATCCTCAGCATGAAAAATACCATAGTGAAGTGTTTCTCACCTCTTTAGTAGCATGGCTCCCCACTACAGCTGCTCCATACTTGCCTTGCTTCAAATACTGCCCATTTGTACTGGAAGAGAAGTGAGACACTCAGCTGTGGAACTGCCCCTGCCTCAGGTATTTCCCTCTGCTGTTGCTTTTCCTCTTCAGAGTTCAGGTCCCTTTCCTTATGACCAAAAGTGCCTGGGAGCACTTCTGAGCTTAAAGAAACTACAACTTTCTTGCTTACCCACAGATAACAGGAGCATACATTGTGTAGTTTGAGATGGAAGTTGCACATATGCAAGGCGAGCAAGCCTTCACATGACAGCTGCAGCAAACATAGAGTTACACTGCTGTCATTCTATGTCCATGCCTCAGTTTTCCACAAGTGAAGATGAGACACAAGCTTCTGACAGAGCTGGTGAGAAACTGTGCAGATGTCAGGCCAGCACACCATCATGCAGTTCCCTGCAACGCACAAACTGAGAACTTGCTGTTTACTTGGCAACTGTGCAGTCCTGAACTGTCTCAAAGAAAGTCGCTTTTTTTGAGCAGAAACTTGCAGCATGTAGACATACCTCTATAAGATGCCTCTTTCTACTTATCCAAAAATACCTCCCCTTATGATTAGTTTCAGGTCCCAGAGACACAGACTCTAAAATACAATGCAGAAAACCACTGCTGCACTTACTATCGATAAGCATGAACCGCAGTGGCCATGAAGACTGAGGGTGTTCCTGTAGCTGCTGGGGCTGCAGGCGCCTTCTGGGCTGCCTGACCTGCTGGAGAACAGAAAGCAGCACTCGGTGACACAGAACTGCCACATCTGCTGGCCAGTGACAAGGTCATGATATATTCCTTCCACAGAACAAAATAACTTCAGCGACTAAAGGAACTGGGGAAAAGGAGGCTGAGGGGAGACCTGATTGCTCTCTTCCAATATCTGAAAGTGCTTACAGAGAGAGCGGGGTTGGTCTCTTCTTACTGGTGACAGGACGAGGGGAAACGGCCTCAAGTTGCGACAGGGTAGGTTTAGGTTGGATATTAGGAAATACTTCTTTACTGAAGGGGCTGTTAAGCACTGCAACGGGCTGTCCAGGGAGGTGGTTGAGTCACCATCCCTATGGTTAGGTCATGGGGGGACTAGATGATCTTCACGATCTTTTCCAACCTGAGTGATTCTCCGATTCTAACTCCAGAAAAGGACTACAGAGTAATATTCCAAAGTCCCTACAGACTGCAAGAATAACCCAGGGGCAGAGAGAGTACTAGAGTAAGATAATATCAGCAAAGAAAAGCTAAATGAATATTTGCAGTGCTGTTCCTCACAAAAGCCCTCATTGAGTCAGGATACCTGCTTCAAAGCTCCTGCCACGTGATCAATTCAGTCACTTACCAGCTGCTGTCTGACCCTTCTTGGGCTGCTTTGGTGCAGTGTATTGAAAGAATTCATTTCCCTGGCTTGAGACTGTCTGATCCAGTCCAAAGAGAGAGGCCAATCTTGCACTAGAAATAAAAATGAAGTAACTTTATTTCACACAGACTTCATAGATAAGGAACACCATTAACTGAAAGTCACATCACACGCAAAGTGCTTACAACCATTTCAGACATAAGGTAATATCTGTTAAGCAGTTCTGTAGTTAGACATACAGTTTTGAAAAAGCAGAACAAAGAAAGAGGGCCAACAGCACAACGATGTTTCATTTCCTCAAAAGTGAGTATAACAAGCAAAAAACAGCCTGAAGCAACACCAAAAGAAAAGTTACTTTAAAGCAATGAATAAGACTACCCTCCTATTAAGCAGTGCATTGTTACATTACTGGAAAAATAACATGTGACAGCAGAGAAGTCATCATTTAGCGCTACCAATCTCAAGGAAACACATCCTCTCAACAGGGCTTAATGCTCTCCTGCCAGAAGGTCGGGCTTACTGTCGGAGGTAAACCTGCTATTGCTGAAAGACATATGAAAGTTCATAGCTTTGCTTCTTTAAGCCCATTTAAACTTTGCTACTCCGGGTAGTGGGACAGAAAAGCGCGTGGATGTCTGCAAGGACAGAACCACTGAGACAGGACCCGGAGATGTTTCAGCAATGAGCCGTTCGCTGAGTAGAGGAGCGGGAGGACACGCAAACAGCAGCACGGCTGGAAAGCACCGAGCAGCAAGCAGTTACACAACGCGAGCAACGACAAACGCGCCGCACGCTCAAACTGCTGAGCTCAGCTGCCCCGCTGCTCTGAGGGGAGGGCTGAGGGAGCCTGCCCGCTGCCCGGCCCCGAGCTCCGGGACAAGCGGGGAGCGGAACACCGAACCTCACGGCCCGGCCCGCAGGAGGGAAGCCGCCTGCAGCCTGTCCAGCCGCCATGCTCTCCAGCGGGGGACCCAGCGGCCACTCACCCGGTGGCGGGGGCCAGAAAGTCGGCGTCATCCTCCTCCGCCGCGCCGAACATACCGGCAGCCCCTCAGCCCCGCGCTGTCGCAAACGCCTCAGCCGACAGCGGCGCGCTTTGCGGCCGTACGAAGACGGCGGGAGGAAAGGAGGCCTGGGGGCGGAGCTTAGATGTCACATCCGGGGGGTGGAGTTCAGATTACACATCCTGGGCGAGGATTAGGGGACAAGGTCAAGAGGGCGTGGCTTAGCGTCACGTCCGGGGCGGGGCCTAGCGGCCATGTTCAAGGGGCAGGGCTTGGGGGGGATGACTCCGGGGGGCGGGGTTAGCGGACGGCCTCGTGGCAGTCTCGAGGTGAGTGACAGCGCGGGACCGTTTCGCGCCGTTTCTTCCCTCCCTCAGAGCTCCGCTGCTTGAGGGGATGGCGGGGTCTTGCTGCTGGCGCCTGGCGGAGCCTGCGCAACCGCGGGGCCTCGGAGCGGAGGGAACTCACTGAGGGCTGTGGGCAGGGAGGCGGGGGCAGGGATTGAGCGCGCAGCCCCGCATGGCGTTTGGGTGACCCGTCGCTTTGTCAGAGCAGAGAGTGGATGTTTTGGAGTGAAACTCGCAAAGGGACAAACCCACGTTTCTGTGGAAAAGAAGCATCGCTGGCGGCAGGAGCTCCCTCAGCAGATGCAATTCTGTGGAGAAGGGGTTTGTGCCTTTGCCCCTCGTGTCTGTCTGCTTGTCAGGGTGCGTTTAATCCAGCTCTAGGAAATGGCATGCAGCCACAGCTTTCTGTCATGTGCGCTAAAATCTGTTAAACCTTTTCTTCCTCTGCTCCTTCCCACAATGGAAAAAAAACAACAACAACAAAAAAAAAAACAGTTGAAATCGGAGTAATAAAATAATGCTAGAAGAGTTAAGATTTTTGAGTCACTTTTGCTTTAAGGTGAAGTTCCTGCCAGCAGTTCTGCGGTGCAGGGGCAGGAAGGGGTTGGGAGGAGTTTTTTTCCGTTCTCACTTTCTCTGCTTGCAGAACAGCTTCACGTTTTGGATTATTGGGACACTCTTTTTCTGAACAAAAGCTTCATGCCCGGGAAGGGAAGCTGCTGAGAATACTAACCTTTAACAGTCCTCTGGTGTAAATGAAAGAGAAGAACAGCCATGTTCACACAGTTTTTAGTCAGTGCCCTAAGGAGCTTTCTTTCAGCTCTCTTGCTTTCCAGTCAGTGTTAGGTCAGAGAGGAGACAAAACAGATATATTTTGAAATAAATATAATGCATTCTTCTCTCCTTTTTGACTTCTGTATTTGCTGCCAAGACTCTGCTGCCCAGCAGGAAGGTGTCATGTCTGCAGGTTTCCAACCTAAGCCGTTCCATGATTCCTGCCTTCTCCACGCCTGTCTGAAGGTCACCCTGTCAGGTAGCCGTAAATTGTGTCAGAGTTGTGAAGTTGAGCTGAAGCAGACCAGTGTGAGCTCCTCCAGAGATCTGTCAGGAAATCATTTGCAATCTTGGCGATTTTTCCTTAGAGAAAAAGACTCAATCTAGTTTTTTTTGTTTTGTTTTTTCCTCCTAAAAGAGCCAGCATTAGTAGTCTACTCCACTGCCTTTTGCTTCAGTCTTATTTTCTTAAATGTTCCCAGTCAAATCCTAGGGTACTTGAGACCAATGATTTTTTCATTAACCTTTTCTTTGGCTAAAAGCCAGAATCCTGTAATGCGAAGAATAATGAAAGTAGTTACTGTAAACTAATTAACCTTCTGTTTTGTTGCGCTGCAGATTAACTTGCTAAAACCTTTCATTTCTTTTTATTCTGGAAGTTGCCTTTTCTGTTCTGGAAGACAATCTAGAGGGGGAGGCTGTGATTAAATCTCTCTCTTGTCTTTCCTCTCTGTTCCTACAGACTCAGATGTAGGTTTCTTCCCACCAGTTCACATCTGTGAGAATGCTGTCCCCTGAGCAGCTGTGACTGCTAGTTAGAGTGATTGCTTATATTGAAAATATGTTGAATTTTTTTTCTTGCGCTTCCGCTTTGCATGCCTATAACATTACAAAATCCCACAGTCGTTTTTTTTCTTATGTCACAGATGTGAAAGTCATTTTTAAGCTGTTTAAAAAGCTCCGTGTGCATGCAGAGTTTGTTCTGACTCTTGTCTACATTAATATGGCAGTGATAGTTCTGGGTCACAGGCCAAAATGAGCAAGTGACTGAGATCTAATGTCTTTAGTGGATGCTCAGCAAATCCTGATATCAGGCCTGAGAAGATGGGAGAAAAAGGATGTAACTGTTCTACAGCTGGCATTGAATGCACCAAGTGCTCTCCCATGAACCTTGGGAGAACTGCATGACATTACAGAGCCTTCTTTTACTGTGCATGCTTGTCAGTTATCAAAGATTCAAATATCTTTCCTCTGATCAAGATTTATGAGCTTGGAAAATGACTTTAACAATACCTTTAGCTGATCTTTTGGGTAAGAGAAGGCCTGACAGTCTTAGCTTTTTTTCTTTTTTGAAGACTTAAGGCATCTCCTCTTGGGGGAGAGAGTGTGTATAGTAAATACACTTCCAGGCTTTTCTTCAGATTATAGATAATGTAACTGGACTTGGATTTGTGGGATTATAAAATACTTTCAGGCCACCTCAGTGATGCAGCGCACTTCCTCACAGTACAAGCTGATGCTTGTCAGCCTGCCAGCTAGCTTGCTGCTCTGGGATCACGGGGAAGCAGCTGTCTGGAAGGCAGAGCCACGTGGTGGAAGGCTTCAGCCTTATGTGGAGTACTTGTCCCTATGACCCAGACTGCTTCTCATCTGCTGTTGATGAGCTTGGTGTGGGACAACCTGAGCAGCTTTTCGCTGTCTTGGTGTGTGCTGAGTGCCTGGCCTCAGCGCACAGCACAGCATGGCTGTGCAGCTCCTGGCTGGGTTCCTGCATATTGTGTTTGGATAGAGGCAGTGCTGAGAGCCAGGGATCTGATTAAGCAGTTCATACCTCACCTAATCTTTTCCTGCTCTGAAAGTCTTTGTACTATAGAGATTTGACAACATATTGTCACAGCTTGCTTGCATTTTCAAACTTGCGTCCTTTACTTGGGAAAGAAAAACACTAACAAATGGAGAGCAGACTGAAAGCCCAGCAGGCAGACGATCCCGGCTCATTCTCCTCCAGCCCTCAGGAAGCAAAGCAGCAGCACTGACATGCAGTGCTCCATGGGAGGGCAACAAGATACCCTTTGTGTTTCCAATGTGGTAAGCCAACCCTTGGACATCAAAGTGATAAGGGAAGAAGCAGTGCAGGCTCCTGAGGAACACGCCCAGCCATAGGATATTATGGAAGTAAAATTCGCCTTAAGCATTGTTCTGTTTTTTTTCTGTTTTATGGTCCCCTTGTTTGTCTGCACTCCTGACTGAATGAACTTGACAAGAGACTGAGTCATGCTTTCCATGTTCTCTGCCTGCAGAGTTTTATGCAAATCAAGTTACCACCATGAACCTGGCATAAGGCGTTATCTCACAAGGAAGTACTGAATTGTTGTAGTGTTTAAGGTGATGTCAGGTGAGACTGGAGGATGCTGGAGAAATGTTACAGAAAGTGACAAATCGAAGCCTAAACAAGTTAAAGGAAAGAGAGTTCCTGATGTTGGTTGTATTTGTGAAGCCAGTGTTGTACTACCTTCATCATGCAGGGCATGAACATCCTTGGTTATAAAATACCCTGCTATACACATAATGAAGGGTAAGACTTTTTTTTAGTGATAAGCAGAACAGTTAGAATACACAATGGCTCAAAAACATCTTTTGGCAGTCTTGTGTTTGCTGAATTAAGTAAAACTCTCCAGTACATCACGAGAGTAGGATCATATGTGCTGCGTACCACCAGATTCCTTTTCATGCACTGCTTGAATTTGATCTTACTTGAAGCCAATGTCCCTGCATTAAAAGCATCTGCATTGCAAAGCACAGTACTGCTAGACTTAGTGGAACTTTTTCACATGATTACTTTCATATCAATTGCAGAGAAGCTGAAGAGTCAGGATTTGACTGAAACACGTCATTGAATATTCTCTGAATATTGTCATCTTTTACCACCCCACCACATCCCTGAAAATTGACCTGCTGTTCTGAAAACTTCACATTTCTTCAGAGTGGGGTCAGTATGAAATGAAATGAAATGAAATGAAATGAAATGAAATGAAACTTGCTCTGTTGTACTGTCCAAAAACAAGCAAAACACTGATTTCTTGGACAGAGAAATTAAAATCTGTAATGTGTTGTGTGCAGTGTGTTTAAAAGTCATCTCTGCATCATGCTGAATCAATCTAGTAAGGCCAGGGAGTTCTAAAATCTCCATGAATCTTTGCAAAGGTCTTTAGCTGTTCCGTGGAGCTTTATGTGAGCATCCCAGCCCTTCCTTTGGTCCTGACATAGTTGGCCTCTGTCTTCTGCAGGCTGCATAGGCCAAGCAGTAAATATTTATTTTGAGTCATATGAAATCTTTGGCTGTAACAATAGGAATTGTCAATATTTTGTGAGGATGGTTTCAGCCATGGTAGAATGTAGCCAGAGTCCCTGCTGCTTCAGTGCTCATCCCTGTTCTGAATACGTAGGAAAGGCTTAATAGAAATATTTTCCAATGAGTAGATTACAGGTGGTAGATCTGGTTTGAAATAGGTTACAAGTTGGGCAATAAACGGGCTTAAAGAGGAATAAAAGTGATCACGGTTAAATCTGAGCAGTAGTTAATGATTAGCCTTTGATATAGATAATGATATTCGTTCTGCTTGTCAGCATTATCTCAAAGTTTATAAACTTTGGTCTGTCTCAGCATTGTAGCCTGTTTGGAGAAGTCTGCTCGCCTGGAGACAGTAGATGGAAAATCTGTCTCTGGAATAGTAAGTACTTAGACTTTATTTTTTTTAAGTTCTGAATCATTTCTGCTTTGGATTAGCGTCTCTCTGGCAGTCCAAGAGCTTGAAAGCTAGATGAAAAAGGCAGTGTTTAAGGCTTTTTTCCAGCATGGTTTATTGTCACGCAGAGCTGGGGTCAAACATCTGTTGATGGCTATCCATGCCCCAGAGGTAATCTTGTCAGAAGAGTGTCATGAGACCAGGACTACTTCACTCTTCCAGAGGCAAGTTCCTTCCCACAGAATGGCTTCATTCCGTTTCCTGTTTCTTGATATTGCAGGAGATCTTCTCTCTTACTGAGGTGAAAACAACTGAACATAGGATTGTATTTTTGCCTCTTCCAAAGTGAACACGTAGAGGTAGGCTGTTCTATGGACTATGGCTATGAATTTGTCCTCTGAACTCTTACAGGTATTGGCATGACTGTGTGCCACATGTGCCATACTCTTGCTGTTATCTGAGATCAGAGAGCAGAAGTAGAAAAGTGCCTCTGGAGATACGTGTTTTAGCCTTTAACCATCTGCTGAAACACAGATTGACGTCCTGGACTTAACTCAAAACACTGCAGAATGGATTTTGCTGATGATGACTTATGTTCTACCTTGCATTTTGCTCAGAAACAGCTTTAGGCTTCTTAAACTGGTATTACAAACAATCGAGGCACAAGAGAATTTGTTTCTTTGTTCTTTTGTTTTATGGCATAGGTGGTGATGCAGAGTTAAATGAACAGGCATGCACTGTACTCCTGTAAGTAGGGAAAACAGTGTTTTTCTAAAAGTCCCTTTTGCAAACCATTAAGCCATTAGTGAAAAGCCCACATTTAAAAGGTGACCGTGACATGCCTGGCTTGGAAATCCAAGTGTGTTCCCATATGAGCTGACATCAACAGTGCAGCAAAGCCTAGCACAGCCCGGAACGGACAGCTCCAGGGAAGGAGGGTGGTTGAGCGGCCACCCTGTAGTGCTGTGTCTGCACATGGGCCCATACCTGTTTGTAAAAGAACAGCCACTGTGAGAAGAAAGGGAGGAGAAATTCGAGTGAAATGTGCTCCTGGGATTTTTATTCAAGGAAGCTCTCATGTGTGGTAGAAGCTGATGCGTGATGAAGGTGTTGCTCTGTGATGAGCATGTGACATTACTGGAGATAGAGGAGCGTGTATGAATTGCTTAGATCAATATGTTTCATATCATACGTGTGGAATGGATTCCAAAATTGGATTAACAGAGATTTTTGGATGGTGGTTTTCTTTTCCAGATCTAAAACATACCTGAAGGCCAGTTTAGAACTCGTGTGACTGTTGTTTTTTCCTGGGCTAATTTAGGATACAATGGTGAAAAGCAGCCAAAGGAGAAAAAAGCTTATTTTCTACATGTGCACATTTGTGTCTATGGCTTAGTTGATCCATTAAATTAAAACTGTCTTTGTTACCACAGCTCATTAGACATTGCCTGAATTCACTGGAGGGAAGATTTCTCTGCCAAAGGACTCCCAGAGTGAAATGTTCAACAAAGGGAGCTTTTTAGTTACGCTACAGGTCTGGATCCAGGTCTATAAATGATGGCTTTTGCTCTCCAGAGTACACAGCAGCTCCACATCATCTCTACAAGAACAGACAGGTCCTTCACACGTACAGGACATCAAACTACATGTAGCTGTTGTGCTTAGTTGGCAGTAAGGTGCTGACCAGGCAACCTGTTCTTGCTGAGCCTGCTCGATCAGTGAAGTTAGACTGGGTGATCTCAGGAGGTCTCCTAGACCTCAGCAGTTCTGTTACCAAAATTGCTAACTACAAATTCTCCAGATACAACATTAGGAACAGTAAGGCCAAGCAGAAGAAGGTCTGTCAGTCTTCTGAATCGTGTTGATGGCTCTCCTTTATGTCACTGTTTTATTTTTTTCTCTCTCTGCATTAGTTCCATCTCCATGAAACAGTTATTTATGATCTCACTGGATAGCATCTGTGGTTTTTTGCCTGTATGAAAAGCCAGCTAAAGCTCTTTTAGGGCATGTTGAGTCACACTGCATTTTTGCAACTGTAGAAAATGTTGTTTGCTTGAGAATGTGTTGTTGGCTCCTAGTTTCATTTTGTGTCTCTGAAGATTACTTTTCAGTCTTGCAGGATTTAAGGCCAGAAGGCCTTTTGAGCCAACTCTGGTCAGAGCTGTTTATGGTATTTATACAGATGTGGCCCTTCTCACTTTATCAAGCTACACAGCAGTGGTTTATCAGATATCGTCTTGGAAGTATCTTGTCTATTGTTCCATGTAGATGGATTGCCTCTGCATGTGGCCACTGAATGGTCACAAACAAAAATATTACTCCCTACCCTCTCAGCAAGGACACCTTTTCTGTATGAGGCAAGCTGTCCTATCAGTACTGCAGGTGGCTTGAACCTGCAGGAATGTGTTTGCTGAATTCGTGAGCACGGTGGAGAAAGTCATACACAAAAGTGCTTTTGATTTGTTGGTTGTCTTTTTCAGACTGAAATTTTGCCTTCATTATGTATATATGTAAAAAGTCTGTTGTAGGTAGAAGAATCTGTGCTTGATGAGGACATATAAAATAGGAGGAGGAGTTGAATATGAGCTTCTTCAGAGATGGAGATTTTCTGAGGAAGCAGAAGTTGCCCAATATCTCCTTTAGGATAAACTTTCAAATACAGATGTTGTTTTTTTTTTTTAAGATTAAAAAGTTTTTGGAGTGTATTGCAAGGCTCAGGGCTCTGCAGTGCTTCAGTTCCTCAGCACGGGAGAAGGAGCAGGATGTGTTCCATCTCAGTGGTCACCACTCCTGCACTCAGTTGTGTAACATCACTGCCGAGCATAAGGAAATATCTATTTATTCACGAAGTTACGTAATCTTGGAAAGTGCAGGTCACAAAGAACTTTTCTATCCTTTCCACCTCTTCCCAGTTACTTCCTCGTTTCTTTCCGCTGAGAGCAAGGAGGCTACGCTGCTCTCTTCAGCTGACAAAGAAGCACTATGAAATTATTAGCAAAGAATCATAGAATCACCAAGGTTGGAAAAGACCTAAAAGATCACCCAGTCCAACCGTTCACCTATTCCCAATAGCTCCTACTAAACCATGTCCCTCAACACAACATCCAGTCTTTCCTTGAACACCCCCAGGGTCGGTGATTCCACCACCTCCCTGGGCAGTCCATTCCAGTGCCTGACCACCCTTTCTGAAAAGTAATACTTCCTCATGTCCAGCCTGAATCTCCCCTGCCGTAGCTTGAAACCATTCCCCCTGGTCCTATCACTAATGACACGAGAGAAGAGGCCGACCCCCAGCTC